TTATTTAACCACTTCAGCATTGAGCACTTTCACCCTCTTCCTGCCCAGGTCAATTTTCAGCCTTTAGGGATGTTGCACTTTGAATGACAATTGGCCGGTCATGCAACACTGTACTCAAATTATATTTTTATAATTTTTTTTTTCACACAAATAGAGCTTTCTTTTGGTGGTTTTTAATCACCACGGTGTTTTTTTTTTTTTTTTTTTTTTTTTTTTTTGCTAAATTGCATTTTTCTTCATTTCTGGTACAAAATTTAGCAAATATTCTGTATTTATAAATTTAGTCCAAACTGTATTCTGCTACATTTCCTTGGTGAAAATAACCCCAATCAGTGTATATTATTTAGGCTGTAGGAAAGTTATGGAGTCCACAAACTATAGGATATAGAACTGAAAATTGGTCAGTCCTGATGTACTGATGTCCTATCTCATTTCTTGAGGCCTGAAAATGTCAAGACAGTACAAAATACCCCCAAATGACCCCTTTTTGGAAAGTAGACCAGGTATTTAGTAAGAGGCATGACATGTTTTTTTGAAGCTCTAATTTTTTGTCACAATTTTTTAGAAAATGAAGAAATGTTTTTAAAAAAATAGTTTTACACCAGTGGAGTGTCACCAGTGCAGTAGAGCATCATTATATGACTGGTGTGGTGGTGATCAGGGATACTGACTGGTGATAGTGTGTAGAGAACATTTTTTTTTTTTTTTTTTTAGAGTTTTTTAATTTTTTAAAATTTTCTTCTTTTTTTTTTTTTTAATTTTTATAATTTTTTTTACATTTTTTAGCATAGTGACACTGTACTACTTTGGTGTGGTTGATCAGGGATTTTTCTTTCTTTTTTTTTACACTGTGAAGATCACTGTAACCGCAAGCTTTTGAACTGTCATAAATTTATTCACAAACAGAAACTAAGAAAAATGTGTTTTTTTTTTTTATTAATTTTCTTTATTTTTTTTTTTATATCGCAAAAAAATAAAAGAGTGATGATTAAACACCACCAAAAGTAAGCTCTATTTGTGTGATATAAAATGATACAATTTTCATTTTGGTACAGTGTTACGTGACCGAGCAATTGCCAGTAAAAGTAGTGCAGTGCCGAATAGCAAATAAAAAATATGAAGTGGTCATGAAGGAGGTAAAATATTCCGGAGTTCAACTGGTTAAAGGAACTCAGCAACAATTTGGAGTAGGAAATGGGCCCAACAACATCTACAGGTTCTGGTTAATGGGGCTGCAGTGGTTAGGAAGACATAATAACGGAGAGTTGGTAGAAGTTGACCTTATTAAGACCTATATGTATGGAGATTGAAGTTGTTAATTAACGTTCCATCAAATTCTCCTTTTGTGGTTTCACTAAATTGCTGTATTATTTCTCGGATGTATTAATGATTAGCAGCCGTCCTGAACATTGCTGCCTCAAGGGGACCAGAATTCTTAAGAGTCAATAGAGAAGGTAGAGAAATGTAAAATTAACCACTTGCTGTCCGCCTGCTGTTTATAAACGGCAGGACGGTGGCACTCCAGGGGCGGGTTGCCATTCATAAACGGCACCCGTATTTTCTAGCTGTGCGTGCTCCCTGGGAGCGCGCAGCACCACGATCCAGTGCCCGCTGTGTCCTCCGGAGACACAGTGGAACACCGATCGTCGGATGGGACCTGTGTGTGAGGTCCCAATCATGTGATCGCTCGTTGGCCAATCAGTGATCACATGCAGAGTAGTAAGCAAGATGTCACTTCTCACATCATTGCTTACTACATGTGAAATCTTTGAATGATCACAGAGGTCACATGGTATAAGGCTATACACAACAGCCTTGTACCATGTGACAAGCTGTGACCAATCACAGCTCACTCAGTAGTTCTCAATGGCTGCAAGAATGCAGCTAGAGAGAAGGAGAAATTAACTGCTTTTACAGCCTTTATGGGTGTAAATCAATCAGTGTAAAAAAAAAAAAATACATAAATAAATCTTCCTCACCCCCCCACAAGTAGTACAGTGTCACCATGGTGACACTGTACTGCTAGGGTGACAGTATGTAAAAAAAAACATAATATAAAAAAAAAGTAAAAAAAATGTTTAAAAATTTATTATTTTTGGTTATGAACTAATTTGGGTTTTTTTTTTTTTTTTACTAAAAAGATAACGGAATAAATTTTGGTCAAGATTTATGATGAAATACTATTTATTTGCAAAATTTTATAAGAAAAACACTTTTTAAAAAAATTTTTTGGACTTTTTCATTTACATAGCAAAAAAAATAAAAATCCCAGTGGTGAATAAATACCACCAAAATAAAGCTTTATCTGTCTCAAAAAAATGCTAAAAAAATTAATATGGGTACAGTGTTGCATGACCGTGCAATTGTCATTCAAAGTGTGATAGCGCTGAAAGCTGAAAATTGTCCTGGACAGGAAGGAGGTGAAAGTGTCCGGACTTGAAGTGGTTAAAGGCTGGCTATACACTATACAATTTTCTGTCCAATTTTATTTAGATTTACCTTCAACTATGTAATTTAAGGGCCTGCCCAATTGAATATAATTGAAAGTATTGTTTAGGTTTGACCTCATATGGTTTTTGGTAAATCTAAAGCAAAATTCTCAAGAAAATTGTATAATTTATGGCCAGCCTAGGGTGGCCGTACACTATGCAATTTTCTGTTCAATTCCTGCCCAATTTCCTTTAGATTTACCTTCAACTATGTAGTGTAAGGGACTGCTTAACTGGATTCAATTGAAAGTGTTGTTTAGGTTTGACCTCATATTATCTGGTTTTTGGTAAATCTAAAGCAATTTTCTAAAGAAAATTGTATAATGTATGGCCAGCCTTGGTTTACTTTTAATCAGCTAATCCAGTACAGGAGTTTCAGATTTTCATTGCATTTCTAGGACGTTGCATGTTAAACAACCTCCCTCTATTGCTCCAATGTTTGTAGGCTAAGATGTAATGGGCTCAGAGGAAGAGCAGTATTGTGGTTAAATGTCTTATTTACAGGGCAATGTAGCTGGAGGCTGTTTGGGGCACACATGAGTCCTGCCTGGGTGCCAACTGGTGCAAGTTCTTGGGGGGAGAACCAGCCTAGTGGGTTGGCTATCAACAGAAAATGCTGTGTTGGCAAGGCTGGCTTCATCAGACATAGGAGTCAGTACTGATAGTAGTGCAATTCAGGGTGTGGTGCACCAGATAATGGATGAAGAGCCATTGTGCACCACCGCCGTTCATCTCAGAGAGGTTGGGTGAGTCCTCATAAGACAAGCATGTGTTTTTTGGGGTCCCCTTGTTTTTGCCTGTCATCAGCAATGGATCAAGAATGGGAATATCTTGCCAAGAGTTCTAAAAACTATGAGCAGTTAAGTGTTATAGCTGTTGATGGATGGATAGAATTTTGAATGAAAATTCTTAGGAAAATTTTCAGAACATTTGATTGTCATACGAAAGCTTTAGTTTGCTTTCAGAATTTGATTTTGGAAAGAATGGAATGTTCCATCCTGCTCATTCAAATTTTAACTGCAGTCAACAAAGAACATCCATTTGACCCACCAATGATAAGAAAAAAAAAAAATTTTATTCAACATTTTTCTATCTATGGCCAACTTATGCCACAGCTGCCAGAAAAAAGGTGTTTTGCAAGTTTAATGAGACTGACCAGATTTGACAGTGACTCCTCTATGAGAGAATATTGTGAAGGTGAAGGATCCTACCCATTCAACCAAAGTTGGAACGGACTTCTGTTGGGGCATGAAATTAACAAAGCATCCTGCATTATATTGCCATCTTCAGTGGGTTCCATCCCATTTACATTTTCTTTAGAGGTCCAGGATGTATTTTCTGTAATGTTCTGCCTATACATGACTGTGGCCATTGAGCACAACCACCGTTCATCGCAAAGAGGTTGAGTTAGTCCTCAAGAGACGAGAATGTGTATTCTGTTGTCCCCTAGATTGTCTGGCATGGGCAAGGGATCAAGAGTTTTTTAACACTGAAAGCAGTCATGTACTATGCCACAGTCCCCAGGAACAAATTGTTCTGCAGGTCCAGTGAGGGTGAACAAGCGTGAGAATACCTCTACTATGATAGAATATTGTGAAGGTGAAAGATCCTGCCCATTCCACCAAAATTGGAGGTGACTTCTTTTGGATCTTATGCAGTGTACATTGCTATCTTCAGTGGGTTCAGTGCCAGTTTTAAGGGGTTCATTGAACTGCATTTGCTTTAGAGGTCAAAGCTACCTATGCACATCTGTTGCCTGTTCAAGAGTTGTGTATACGCTAGCCTAATTTTGGTTCTAATCGTTAAAGAACTTGGCCGCCAAGGCCAATGTGTATAGTTGCTAAGTGACAGTTCCATGTATGTGTCTATAATAACCCATGATGCCATCCTATCTGTATAACATTGCCTGGACCAAGAACACTTGGCCCAAAAATACCCATGAGGAGCCTACTGAATCTAGTGTTCTAGAATAATTGGCAAACTGAGCGAGCCCACTGACTCAAAAACATTGGCTTGGGTGACATTGCGTTTTACTTACTGATATCATTTGCTGGATGGTTTATAAAGGAAGTATATGGTCTGACAAAATGTAGGTTGCCATTGTTGAGCTCTCCTACTTAAAACATGCTAGTTGCCTGGATCTCATGCTGATCTATTGGCTTTAGTATGTTCTTGGATACTGTCCTGGAAGAAGTATCAAGTGTTCTGCCTTCACTGTGGTTTTCTAATCTTTTCTAATCTTTATTCTCATTCTGGATCAGAAAATGTTGCTGACAGATGTAGCAAATCAGATAATATTCTTAGAAGGCTATAAATAATATCAACTACAGTGTTTTTCTCAATGCAGATTTCTTTGAAATGTGTTTTTTTTTTTTTTTTTTACTGCAGCAAATTGTAATCTGATTGGTTCTGGCATTTTCCATATCACCCCGATGTTCACTGAAGTAATAATTCTTGTGGCGCCTTGTCACTTTTTGCAATAAAACTGGTATGTCTGCACTTGTCTTCCAGGGCCAGGAGCTCACTATCCGTCAAATTGCTCTACTCGGCTTCAGGGACTTGGTCTTATTAAAGGTGAACTTGGACAAAACTCTACCTCTTGTGCAGTCCCAGATCCCACCACCCATCCTGCAGATGCTGCTGGTCCTTCAGGTAGGAGAAATGGGACTTAATAGTATGGTGACATGTTCTGTTCTCCATTCCAGGACACAGTGACTTTTCGTGAAAGAAGATTTGACATTATTGGGCTAAATATGTTGATATTGAAAAAACATTTGAAGCATTTCACATTCATCTTTTAAAATTAAAAAAAAATAAACAAACATGTATATTTACCTACTGTGTGCAGTGCTTTTGCACAGAGCAGCCTGGATCCTCCTCTTCTTGGGTCCCCCGCCGGTGCTCCTGGCCCCTCCTTCCTGTCAGGTGCCCCCACAGCAAGCAGCTTGCTAAGGGGGCACTCGCTGCTACATGTGCCCATTCACAAACAGAGATGCAGCTCGGGCCAGCCCCCTCTATCTTCTCATTGGCTCACTGCCTGTGATTGACAATGGCTCCCGATTCTGTCTCAGCCAATGAGGAGAGGGAGTCCAGAGATAGCTGAGGCTCCAGTGCACATCGGTGCAGATCTATATAGAGGAATCAGGACCTCCTTCGTGATATACACACACTCACCGGCCACTTTATTAGGGACACCTGTTCAATTGCTAATCGGCCAATCGCATGGCAGCAACTCAAAGCATTTAGGAATCTAGACGTGGTGAAGACGACTTGCTGAAGTTCAAACCGAGCATCAGAATGGGGAAGAAAGGGGATTTACTTGATTTTGAATGCGGCTTGGTTGTTGGTGCCAGATGGGCTGGTCTGAGTATTTAAAAAACTGCTGATCTACTGGGATTTTCATGCACAACCATCTCTCGGGTTTACAGAGAATGGTCCAAAATAGAGAAAATCTCCAGTGAGCGGCATCTGTGTGGACAAAAATGCCTTGTTGAGGTCAGAGGAGAATGGGTAGACTGGTTGGAAATGATAGGCAACAGTAACTCAAATAACCACTCGTTACCACCAAGGTATGCAAAACACCATCTCTGAACGCACAACATGTTCAACCTTGAAGCAGATGGGCTACAGCAGCAGAAGACCACACCGGTGCTACTCCTGTCAGCTAAGAACAGGTTACAGAGGCTACAATTCACACAGACTCACCAAAATTGTACAATAGAAGATTGGAAAAAACGTTGCCTGGTCTGATGAGTCTCAATTTCAACTGCAACATTCAGATGGTAGGGTCAGAATTTGGCATAAACAACATGAAAGCATGAATCTATCCTGCCTTGTATCAAAGGTTCAGACTGGTGGTAATGGTGAAATTATATTTTCTTGGCACAATTTGGGCCCCTTAGTACGAAGTGAGCATTGTTTAAACACCACGGTCTACCTGAGTATTGTTGCTGACCATGTCCATCCCTTTATGACTCCAGTGTCCCCATCTCCTGATGGCTCCTTCCAGCAGGATAATGCACCATGTCACAAAGCTCAAATCATCTCCAACTGGTTTCTTGAACATGGCAATGAGTTCCCTGCACTCCAATGGCCTCCACAGTCACCAGATCTCAATCCAATAGATCATCTTTGGGATGCGGTGGAACGGGAGATTTGCATCATGGATGTGCAGCCGATAAAACTGCAACAACTGTGTGATGTTATCATGTCAATATGGACCAAAATCTCTGAGGAATGTTTCCAACACCTTGTTGAATCTATTGCATGAAGAATGAAGGCAGTTCTGAGGGCAAAAGGGGGTCCAACCCGATACTAGCAAGGAACGTGGCTGGTGTGTGTATGTATGTGTGTGTGTGTGTGTATGTGTGTGTGTGTGTGTATGTATATGTGTGTATGTATATGTGTGTTTGTGTGTGTGTGTGTGTGTATGTGTGTGTGTGTGTATGTATATGTGTGTGTGTGTGTGTATGTATATGTGTGTGTGTGTGTGTGTGTGTGTGTGTATGTGTGTGTGTATGTTTTTTGGTTGTGTGTGTGTGTTTTTGTTTTATGTGTGTGTGTTTGTATATGTGTGTGTGTGTGTGTATGTTTGTTGTGTGTGTGTGTGTGTATTGGGGTTTTGTGTGTGTGTTTGTTTGTGTGTGTATTGTATGTGTGTGTGTGTGTGGTGTGTGTGTGTGTATTTTTGTGTGCATGTTGTGTGTGTGTGTGTGTTTTTGTGTTGTTGTGTGTGTGTGTGTGTTTTTTTGTGTGTGTTGTATATGTGTGTGTTTTTTGTGTTTTTGTTTGTGCATGTTTGGGTGTGTGTGTGTGTGTGTGTGTGTTTTATGTTGTATTTTGTTTTTTGTTTATTTGTGTGTGTGTTGTGTTTTGTGTGTTTGTTTGTTTGTATGTTTTTTTGTTTGTGTGTTGTTTGTTTATGTGTGTGTTTTTTTATTTTTTTTTTTTTTTTTTTTGTTTTTATTTGTTGTGTTTTTTTTTTATGTTTTTTTGTGTGTGTATGTTTTGTGTTTGTGTGTGTTTTTTTTGCGTGTATGTATTTTGTGTTGTGTATGTATGTATTTGTGTTTTTATATTTATTTTATATATATATATATTTTTTTTTGTGTATGTGTGTTGTATATTTTGTGTATGTGTGTATGTATTTTGTGTTTGTATGTATGTTTTTTATATTGTGTTTTTTTTGTGTTTGTATTATGTATGTATTTATATGTGTGTGTGTATGTATATTTGTGTGTGTGTTTTTTGTGTATGTATGTATATTTGTGTATTTGTTTTTGTTTGTATGTATGTGTGTGTATGTATATAGTCTATTCCATAAACAGGTTGCACAGAAGGGATTGTGAATCTTGTTTCCAAATATACAGATGACTGCTTAGAAATCTAAATATGGAGTACAATAATCTAAATATGGCACAGCAAGCAAATAATTCAAGTATCTAAAGTCAAAACTCTTTTTCAGTTTGTATACAGTGGGGAGGGCTAACTCCCCTGTTAGGTTTTTTTGAGGCTCTGTGTCTCTTTAGTGAGACTTCCCTTAACTTCCTGTCCTGTAGACTCATAGTTATCTTTCCACTGTAAAGGACAGGAGAAAGTGTCCCCATTGGCAGATAACCCTACTATCCCTGTTCTTGTGGCCACCCAAAATTTTAGAATCTACTTTCATTCCTGGTGACATTGGGGATAAGGAAAATCAGAGAGGGTGAATCTCTCTAATGGGGATACAGACAGCAATAAGAACTGGCAGGTATGCTAATCCCTCCCCACTTTCTCCACATCTATTTCTGGGTTATGTTAGATTTTCCCTCACTTCCCGCAAACAACTGTTTTACCAGAAAGGAAGTGAGGGACAATCGGGAACAGGGACACATGTGGCAAGAAAAAGGTGACAGGGGTTCTAATCCTTCCACACGCTATCTAAAATCTGGCTTGATACAAACTTTAAATGATAACTCAGAATGAGCCTCCATTGGAGTACACGTGTCCTTTACGTTTGGATTGAAGTATGGGGCATTGAGTCCGGGGCGGTCGGTGAAATGTGTGATAAGTTCGGCATACATGACCTCATGACCTGAACTTTCCATTTCGGTCTATTTTAATACTTGAATCGGTAAACTATTAGTATTGCATAAGAAGACAATGTTACCACGAAATCATGTGAATCGCCGGGTCGTGAACTAGCTCAGGGTTCCAATAATTTGATCAAATCGATTTTTTTGCAGTAAAAAAACTGAAAGTTCAAAAAAAGGGCATGCAAGCCATTTCATACCAGGAAGGTGACAGTCATTTGGCCATTCGAGCTGAACTCCAGGCAAATGGCTCAATACTTACATGAGATACGTGTCTGAGAGCTAGTTTCATTGACAAAGGGTTTGTATTTCTGTCAAACCTGTCCTGAGATTTACACAGATATGCCAAGAGAGGAGACCTGATTCCTCTGTGCTGCAGCTAAGTAGCACTTACAGGTCTTGTCCCTCTTCCACACTGTGATTGGACAGTGAAAAGAGAAGCCGCAGGCTTTGTCACTCTGATCTCTCCTTCTCTCAGCATGGTCTTTGCGCATGATTGGTTCCTTGTGCTTCTTATCCCTCCCCCTTCTTGAATAAAAATAAATGTAAGGGTTTATTAATGAATACAGAGCTGCATTCATATATGTCTAAGATATATATATATATATATATATATATATATATATATATGTGTATATATATAAATATATATATGTGTGTGTGTGTGTGTGTATATATGTATGTGTGTGTGGTGTGTGTGTGTGTGTATGTGTGTATGTGTACATATATATATATATATGCACCTCTGCCTGGCAGTACTGGGATTGTTGGTTCGAATCCCAACCACGGCACAACCTACCTGGATCTTGATTTTATCTTCTCCTGATGCCTCATTGTCCATAGTGCAGGGACTATAAAGGACTGGTGGATAAATGGCCAATACCAGCACAGTGGCTAAGTGGTTAGCGCTTCCGCCTGGCAGTACTAGGGTCATTGGTTTGAATCCCAACCATGGCACCACCTGCCTGGAGTTTACATTCTCTCCCTGTGCCTGCATGGGTTTCCTCCAGGTACTCTGATTTTCTCCCACACTCCAAAGACATGCTGAAAGGTTAACTGGCCCCTGTCTAAATTGGCCCTAATATGTGTATGTGTATGAATGTAAGTTAGGGACCTTAGATTGTACGCCCCTTGAGGGTTAGGGACTGATGTGAATGTACAATATATGTATGTAAAGCTCTGTGTAAAATTTATGGCACTATATAAGTACCTGAAATAAAAAAATAAATTATATATATAAATTTATGTTTGTATTTTATTTTTATTATTTATATATATATATTTATTTAAAGAAAATAAAAAATAGCAGGCATATTCCATAGTCCATAGGAGAGTTAACGGGGAGATTTACTAAAACTTGAACTTTCAGAATCTAGTGCAGCTGTGTATGGTAGCCAATCAGCTTCTAGCTTCAGCTTGTTCAATTAAGCTTTGACAATAAAACCTGGAAGCTGATTGGTTTCTCTGCAGACCTGCGCCAGATTTTGCCGTAAATCTCCCATGTGCTTGCTGTGTAGCTGATTGGTTGGACTATCATATGGTGCTCTTTGTGCTCCCTATGATGGATAACTACCAAGCCAT